TGCCCCGAGGGCTCGCCGGGCTCCCCGGCGAGGTGGAGCGGGTCTCTTCCCGGTCGTGGGGGAGTCTGAGAGAGGGAGACAGCTAGCTTCGCCCCTTAGGTGGAAGGCGGGACTGGGATGGTTGGGTCCCGTCGCTCTCGGCTCCGCTTCGGGGAGAGAACTGTCTTTTCCATCTTCCCGTCATCGCCCCAGGGAAGCCTCGGTCTGATCTCCCCCCATCCTCGTTTCCAAAGGCTTTTCCCCCTTGCCTGTGCCCCTCGGGAAGCAGAGCAACTCTCCTGCGGTCGATGTCGGGGGTTTTGCCTAGGTATGGGGGACGGAGGGTCGGACGTGGCTGGATTTCTGACCTGTCCTCCAAGAGTTCAGACCCTGAGGGCCCAGCCGGCCAGGGAATTTGGATGCTGGTCTTGGCCACGCTTGGGAAGACTCAGTCGATCTTGTGGCATTGGGCTTGCTAGAGTGTGGCGACAAGTTTCGCTGTGGTCGGGTCTCTTCCTGGAAGGTGACTGGTGGCAGGGGTGGATGTGGGGAGCCGGCACTGCCCCACCACGGCCATAGACCTGCCTGTCGTTTCTCCGTTTATGCTTGTCTCCCCTGGGGCTTTCAGAGCACTCATGGTTGATGTGGCCTGTGTGGTCCCAACAGCTTTTGTTCTGTGAAGTCGTCTGCGTTAAGGTTTATTACCTTGTTTGCATATCTTGCAGTTTTTCTAGACACAGATTATGAATGTGAAACGTTAACTTTCCAGACCCAGGACCTTATCCTTATGTTTTAATCTTTGATCTCTGAGGTTTGTTTTCCACTTTTTGCCACTTAGATTTTAGGCCAGGTTCATAACTTTACAGTCAATACTGAGTTTCTCTATGTGTTATCTTAAATATCCTTAACTGTGCACTCTGCTGGTTTATATCCTTTAGATTTTCCAAATAAGAAGCGGAAGAGGAGCCGCTGGAACCAAGATACAATGGAACAGAAAACAGTGATTCCAGGAATGCCTACAGTTATTCCCCCTGGACTTACTCGGGAACAAGAGAGAGCTTATATAGGTAAATACACGTTCTGGATCTAAATGCTTTTTCGGATTGTTACTGTTTGTCTTGAGCAATAACGTCTGTGTTGAAAGTGTGAGATTTTAGTTTTCTTTTATGAGATGAGATATGGTCAGGTGTACTTCCACGACTTTGATATAATCTGTTGGTTTCTGCTCAGTGAGTTCTGCCTTTCCGGCTCCATGTTTTGGTCTGTTCGTAACAGCAGTGTTCTCCATGAGTGCCAGGAAGGTAGGGGCTCACTTAGGAGTGAGGGTAGTACCCAGTCCAGCAGCCCACCCTTTTCAGCTGCTGTTCATTGCTTGTTGATGAGGTGAGTGTCGTCTGCCTCTCTGGACAGGCCCCAGTGGAGAACACTGCAGGTATTGTAAACCAAGTACTTTTCACAGCATGGCCTTTCACCATATTTTCATATTTCTCCCTTTCCCTAAAAATGTGGTCTTTTACTTCTTATAGGTACTTCCTGAAAGGGGGGGAGCTCAGATTGAACAAAAAGTGGTTCTGAAAGTGTGTTTCACAGTTCGCCCCTTTTTACTATTTTGCTTAAATTAATCTTCCCTTCAGCTTCTTTTCTGGTTTGATCTGTGGAGAGAGCTGTTTTAAAATGAAGGCTCTTATATTCACTCTTAAAGAACTCTGCTGGGAAGGGGATAAAGCTTGGTATGGAATGAAGTGGTAGGATTAAAAGTCTCATCTTCTGGGAAGTTTGAAGAGTTAAAGACAACTACCCACAGTATAATTGAAATTAACCTCAAAATTATTTTTTAATACAAAGTTTTTAATGCAAGTTTTACCTCTGTGTGTCTGCGTAGGTGTTTCAAAAAAGTTCACTGATAAACATTTTCTACTAACTAAACATCCCCTTCGGAGGGAATTGGGTGAAAGACCTAGGCCTCTGGGGCTGTGGCCTTCACAACCAAAAAACTTTGAGGCCAGCACATTCTTAGTCTTGAGGGTCTTGATTTCCTGTTCTTAGACTGCTGGGAACTTTGAGGCGTTGGCATTGTCTGTCTCCTTTCCACAGCACTAACACTTGCTCTTTCCCCACTGTTTCCTCTACTCCCATCCACACCCTGTGTTTCACGTAAGACTCTCTGGGTCATTACAACCTTGTGAAGTACCCCTAGGGGAGTGATAGCCCCAGAATACAAGCAGACTTAAAAAGTGGGAAAAACAAACTCACTCTTTACAACTCCCATTTCTCTTCCAGTGGAGGGTGAGTTAATGCACTGAGCCCTACGGGCTGTTTACAGCTATAATCAAAGCAGATAGAATCAAGGCAGATAAACATAGGTATAGGTCTCCGTAGCAGGTAGCACCTCTTTTTATTCAGATCAGACCCTATGTCTCCGCAGTCCAGTGAAAAAGACATAACAATCGCCCCTTCCTGCATGAAGGTGACTTTCACCTTGTTAAGTTTAATACTCATTGGTAAAGTCGGTTCTTTTCTGGCGTAAAGGAGCTTGGGGAACCATGTGTCTCACTTACCTTCTGTCTCCCACAGTACACACTGCTTTGTCCAGAATGCCCTCAAAATCTTCCTTTGATAATAATGGGTTTTCATTTCTTCAGGGTTTCGATGTGTGGGTGTGGTATAGCCCTGTGGGACGTATTTGAAATTAGAAGGGTGTCTTGAGTTAGGTATGCATTAATCCTGTGTTGGAGCCACCTCAACTGCAGCCCAACCCAGTAAGACTTGCCCTCACTAGAGAGACGCCTGCTCAGAACTCTCAGGTGCGGCAAAGGTAAGGAGCAGGTGCTTCCGCACGTTGAAGAAAGCTGCTCTGGCTCTGCAGTTCCCATTATCTTGGAAACTCAACTGTGTAACCTTTCCCTGGAGTCACTGGCAACTTTTGTGAAACCCTCACCTCTCTTTTTCATGTGCAGCCTCCTTGGTTAAGGCCTGAGGGCCGCATTCATTCTCCTTGACCCACACATTCCATCTTCTACATGCCTACTCTCCTTATAAAAATAGCAAGTTTGAAAACAGATTCCTAGCACTTCACGGTTTCTGGTTTTTTAAGACACATGGTTTGTCATGTAATAACTGAATAAAAGCTGAAGGTATTGGGAGACCCTTAAAAGTACAGGTCTGGTTGTACAGAAAGAGTATGTACCAAATTTTATAAGTTGTTGAATCGGTTATTAAATGTCTTGTTAAGGAATTTTAAGTGTGGTATTAATGATCTTTGCTCAACTGGTATTTTTCCTTGTCCCATGTTAATTGGGTCTCATTTGGGCTACGTTTAATATTTAGTGAAGAAAAAAAAGCTGTCAAGTCTTGCCCTCAAGTAATTTGGGAATTGGGTATCTATCGGTGATATACATGGATTGGGTTCTGGGTACCAATTGTAAGCAAGCCTTGGTGGGGAGGGAGAGGTGAAACACCTCCTAATAATTAATTGCTCTGATGCTAGTCTTAGTGAACAGTCTTTACTGCTAACCCCTCTTCCAACAAACTGTTTGCTTCCTTAAGTGATAACCATTTTGAAGTGAAAAATACCTATAGATGTAAATGGACTCCTGCTGATAGGTGGTTGGGGGTTTTTGCCTCAATGTGTTCACTGATCAGTCGTCCCTTTCAAAGTCTCCGAGTTCTTCATGCTTGTTGTTGAGATTTGAGATGTTTTTTGGTAACATTGTCTTTTTTCCATCCTTTTTTTTCTTTCCTAACCTGGTTTCTTCCAGTGCAACTGCAGATAGAAGACCTGACTCGTAAACTGCGCACAGGAGACCTGGGCATCCCCCCTAACCCTGAGGACAGGTTGGGAAACAGTTTTAACCAGCTGACAGTAACGCTTTTACCTTTTTCTCAATACGTTTTTTACTGGTGGCAACATTGTGTCAGTTCAATAAAATCCTAGTAAGACGACTGTACTCTGACCATTCTGGGAGATTAGAGTTTAATTAGTAATATATATGGTCAGTTAACAGCTAGAAAAATTGGAATAAGACTTAATTATTAGAATAAAAAGTTACAGGAAGATGGACAACTGGTTTCCAATTGGTAAGCATGTAGATTTTAACCTGATTTACCCACCCTTAGGGACAGTGAGGTGGCCCATTAACCTGCCTTTTTCAGTACCTGCTTTGGCTGAAAGCCCAGAGGGTAGAGTTTTTCTCACAGGTACCGATGCAGGGATTACGAATATTTTTGAGCATCATTGAATTTGAGCAGGCCAGAAGCTCTGGTCAGCTCCTTGCTACAGTCTTCCTGCTCATGGTTTTGAGATGGTTTTAAAATCAGATTAGATTTCTAACCAACTTCCTTCACTGCCAGTTAATTTTCAGCCTTTGCCATTGCCTGGGGGTGTTGGGAGGGGCCAGAATATTCTTGTCTGTTTGGGAAAGGCAAGCAACCAACCCTAAATTACTTTTTTTTTTACAAAAAGGGAGTGTGGGCCTCAAACAGCTGTGGTCATGTCATTTTACTTTACAGTTTCTTTCTCGGAAAGATAAAAAGTTTGTGTGAGGGAGATGAACTTTTAAAACTGGAATTTTATTGATGGATCTTTGAACAGTTACATCTGGTCATTGAATAGAAGGGCAATAAGTCTCTCCCTCTCACTGAAATTTCTCTTAGTGCATACAGCACAGTTTAAAAGACTTTGCTTTAAAAAGTAGTATTTTGGGCTTTTGCTACCCAGTTAATAGCTTGTTAAATCAGGAAGATGATGTAATGGCTTTAGAAGTCACTCACTTACGCATCTTTCTTCCAACTTTGCCAGGAAACATTAACTTCCTCATCTTTCCATATTGACTCTTTAGGGTTACTTATTAAATTGATTATGTTTTTACCTATAGATTTTGGTTGGAGGGTTGTGTTGTGTTTTGTATTTCTTGATTTGAAGTTTTGTTTTTTTTTTAATAGATTTACATTGTAGGTTGTAGACCACAACTGTTTAGTGCCTTTTTGGCCTTTTTCCCTTTAATAATATGTCTACAGGTTACCAGGCAATTCCTCCAAAGGTTGAATTTTTAACCTCCTTTGCTTCCTGGAGAATTGGGATTAGAATTTAGTTGATCTATCCGATGCCTATTCAAGGTGAAGAAGTCGGGCCAGTCTAACCTCTAGAATACTAGCTTTTACTTTTCACTTCCGCAATTTGGGAGGAGGTTAAACTGTTGTGAGGCCTTCACATGGCCAATTGGGTACTGGTAAAACTTGTTTTGGTGACCAGCCAGAAATGCTTAATTCTAGACAGCTATGGGGTGGGAATTAGAAATGTCAAGCATGTTAGAAATAAAACCAGAGCAGTTTTTCCTTCCTTGTATTAAATTTTGAAAGAGGCCCTAATGCCCGATCGGTTTTGCTTTTGAGCTCAGGTTGGAGGGAAATGCATGAGTTTCTGAACTTAATAAGGTCATTTCTTAAGAAGGTGTATCTCAAGATTAAGCCACTTTTATGTATGCTATTTTGACATTGCTTAACTTGCACAGTTAAAAATGTTTTAAAATTTCTTATAGACTTAAAATGTGTAAGATGGTAGTCTGATGAGTTGGGGTATGTTTGCTTTTGTTCACTGTTACTGAATTGTGCTAACAAGTTTATACAAATGCTAGAAACGGAGGTGTCATTTAGCCGTCATTAGCCATGAACAAACCTGACCTTTTATTCCATCGTGTGTGTAACGTGGTATGACATGGTTCCCTTTAGGCTGAAGACAGTGGGAGCAGCCGAGTTCAGTCCTTGCTCCAACTAGGCAAGGTTCTCTCAACTAAACCAAGGGTATAGGAGTCTTGACAACTTTCAGGATGCTTTTTTAATAACCTGATCCACATGGTCTCTTCCCTTCTTGCAGCTGCTACTAAATTTTCATTCAGAAAATCAAGCAATGGTCCTTTTTGTAATCTTAACTCAGAATTCTAGGAGTGTAACCTCTCTTTTTTATTACTGCAAAATCCAGCTGTAGTAAACTGACCATTTTATCATTACTATTTTTTTACTTGTAGCAACAGCATTTTACTCCTTAAAAAAAAGAGAGAGAAATCTGCTTTCTGGACTTGTAAACTCTGGTGGAGAATCCTAGGTTTTCCCCTTGCTGTTTGCAGGTTCAGACCTTAGACAAGTATTTGACTAAATCTGCACTTGCAGCCTCTCTCAGAAGCTGCTTTAGCACTTAACGTTTTTCTCTACCCAGACTCCCCAACCTCGAACAGCCAGAAAACAGGTTGTCTCCTGGGCCTTGGACACAGCCAGCCAGGCCATTGAAGGAAAAGCAGAGACGAAGCCTTGAACCATCTCTCTCCATTGTGGGGGCCAAGTAGCTGCAGGAGCCTTGAGTCCCAGTCGCATGGGGTTAAAGAGCTCATTCTGTGTGTTAAGGGTACAGACGCTCTTCCTGCTAGGACAGGAGCTCTCTGAGAGTTAACATTTGCCTAAACTTGGGGTTTCCGTGGTTCATCAAGTTGTGATGCTGTCATTTTTCCAAATGGAAGAAAATCCACATTTGGCAAGAAGACTCCAGAGCATGGGTCTGTCCTTGCCACTTAAAGCCCAGAGATTTTCCCCCAAGGGATAGGCTTTTTTCCTCCTCATCACTTTTAGAAGCGAAGCCATTTTTTTCCTGTCTCACACAGACCCCAGTCCCCTCAGGTTAAGCCAGCTCAACTCCCCATTCCACACGATCTTGAGTAGCACACGTTACGGTCGGTTCCTCCGGAGAGTATTGTGTTAGGGTCTGAGAGGCAGAGGGGCTGGGAAAGGCTTGTTAGAGTCCATGTGGGAGCGAGAGGCGGGGCAGAGCAGCGAACGCGGGTCTGTTTCCCACAGGTCCCCTTCCCCTGAGCCCATCTACAACAGTGAGGGGAAGCGGCTTAACACCCGTGAGTTCCGCACCCGCAAGAAGCTGGAGGAGGAGCGCCACAACCTCATCACGGAGATGGTCGCGCTCAACCCGGACTTCAAGCCGCCTGCAGATTACAAGTGAGCGGAGGGCCTGGGTCAGCACAGGTGGGGCCCACTGGGACGCTTTGGGTACTGTTAACCTCTTGCCCCAAGTCTCCCCTTCATCGGCACGTGGTACCGGCGGTTAGTTCTGGAAGGGCTGCTGGTTATCTGCGTTGTCTTCCAGAAGTGAACGGTCATTGACAGTCTCTTCTTTCGCAGGCCTCCAGCAACACGTGTGAGCGACAAAGTAATGATTCCACAAGATGAGTATCCAGAAATCAACTTTGTGGGGCTGCTCATTGGGCCCAGGTGGGTAACTGCTAGGCTGTGGGATATAAGAATTTCTTAATGCCCCCGAGAAGCGTCTGTTTTGTGCCTTTGGGTATTAGTGCGTTTCTTTCCTTTTTTTTTTGAGTTGGAGTCTCACTCTGTCACCCAGACTGGAGTGCAGTGGCCGCTCCCGGCCTCCGCAGCCTCGACCTGCTGGGCTCCGGCGATCCTTCCGCCTCAGCCTTCCAAGTAGCTGGAACTACAGGCGCGCATTACCACGCCCAGCTAATTTTTTGATTTATTGTAGAGATGTGGTCTTGCCAAGTTGCCCAGGCGGGTCTCAAACCTGCGGGCTCAGGCAGTCCACTCACCTCAGCCTCCCAAAGCGCGGGATTACAGGCTGAGCCACCAAGCCTGGCTTCTTTCCTGTTTTTAATTATTTTTATTTTTTAGATTGGAAAATATTTATAAAGAAAATTATAGAAAGGAGGGAGAAGGAGAGAGATTCGCCTCCCCAAGTTAGGGAAGGGGGGCCAAAGCTTAGGAAACATGTTGGTAACCATAGCCCAAAGAGCATGTGATCACACCAGAGTTTAGCAAAGCAGTGGCCCCTCTAAAAACGTCCTGTTTTTAGTGGGACGTTGATTTTGGCCGAATTATGCCGTTTTGTGAGAACATCTCTAACATCCCTGTTACTGCAGAAAAGCCAAATCCTCAGGTTTGCTGTGGCTGGCCTTAATTACAGATCTTGGAGTGCTTGGTGGGAAATCCAGTGCTCTGCATTTTTAGTTTATACCAGTTTCTGATGAGCCCAGCCTTTGTCCCCTCTGGGAAGCGTCAGCATGCCAGTCGTAAACTTGGTCACTTCTGCCTCTGCTAGAGGGAACACGCTGAAGAACATAGAGAAGGAGTGCAATGCCAAGATCATGATCCGGGGAAAAGGGTCCGTGAAGGAAGGGAAGGTTGGGCGCAAAGATGGCCAGATGTTGCCTGGGGAAGATGAGCCGCTTCATGCCCTGGTCACCGCCAACACAATGGAGAACGTTAAGAAGGCAGTAGAACAGGTGAGTGGTGAGCCCAGAATGAAGCCTCTCGTCAGAAATCCGGGTGGTGGCCCCAAACACTTAAGTGATTGCCCTGCGTGTCTTTTCTAGATTAGAAACATTCTGAAACAGGGCATTGAGACCCCAGAGGACCAGAACGATCTACGGAAGATGCAGCTTCGAGAGTTGGCTCGCTTAAATGGGACCCTTCGGGAAGACGATAACAGGTGTGTGTCATCAGCTGGAGGAGAGTGGAGAGGCCTGAAGAACCCGTGGAAGTAGAGAGTTCCACAGCCTGTGAGCTGACCTTTTTCTCCGTCTTCAACAGGATCTTAAGACCCTGGCAGAGCTCAGAGACCCGCAGCATTACCAATACCACCGTGTGTACCAAGTGTGGAGGGGCCGGCCACATTGCTTCAGATTGCAAATTCCAAAGGTGAAGGACTGGCTTTTCTCGGGGGTTCCTGGTAGCCTGTGGTGTACAGGACAGTTCTTTCTAGCACGTGGGTGGTGGTTAATCTTACGGACCGAAGAGTAGAAGAAGAAGCATTATTTCTGTGAACATGGTTTGTGATCATGTGATTTAAAAGCCCAGGATGAGCCGGGCTCGGTGGCTCAGCCTGTAATCCCGCACCTTGGGAGGCTGAGGTGAGTGGATTGCCTGAGCCTGCGTGTTTGAGACCCGCCTGGGCAATTTGGCAAGACCTCATCTCTACAATAAGTCAAAAATTAGCCGGGCATGGTAGCGCACGCCTGTAGTTCCAGTTACTTGGAAGGCTGAGGCGGAAGGATTGCTGGAGCCCAACAGGTCGAGGTTGCGGTGGCCGGGAGTGGCCACTGCACTCCAGGCTGGGTGACAGAGTGAGACTCCAACTCATAAATAAATAAATAAATAAATTAAAGCCCAGGATGATTAGAAGCAGCCTGTACAGAATACGCTTGTTTTTCTTGAGCCCTAGTAAACTGGGCAGTTTTCTAACTGGGTTAGGAGATGTGCTCCAATGTTGAATCCTACAGAGTCTTCTGTGTGTAAGTTCCTCATGCGGAAGGCCTCCTCCTCAATTAGTTTTCCATTTTGGAGCTTCCCTGTGTTTTCACTGGGGCTCAGTATTAAGTTCACTCCCTTCACTGCTCATGATTGGTTCAAGAAGAATAAGCCACGTGTGGAATTTTGTCCAGTTGCAAATTGGCCCTTGATAACAACTTCTTTGTTTTACTCTGGGTGGCAAATATGTATGGCTTTATTAAGGATGTTCTTTCTGAAGTTGCTTCACTCTTGCGTAGCTTTTCCTTTCCTCAAACTGGAATGCAGAATTTGATGAAATTTGAGAGTTGAAAGAGGCTGGGTGGGGTGGCTCACACCTGTAATCCCAGCATTTTGGGAGGCTGAGATGGGAGGATCGCCTAAACTCAGGAGTTTGAGACCAGCCTGAGCAGCACAATGAGACTTCATCTCTACAAAACATCAAAAGATTAACTGGGCATGGGGGCGTGCACCTGTAGTCCCAGCTGCTTGGGAGGATGAGGCCGAAGGATCACTGAGCCTGGGAATTCAAGGCTGCAGTGTGTCGTGATCATGTCACTGCCCTCCAGGCTAAGCAATAGCGACCCCAGCTTAAAAAAAACTTGGGCGCCTGTGTTCTGCGCCCAAGGCCTCTGCTGTGCTGGGTGCTGTGTGATCTGGTGTGCAGCACTGCAGGTCTCGTGGGACTGAGCCCACGATTGAATTCTAGTAAATCTTCAGCATGTCAGTTCCTCGGGCTCAATGTGTCCTTATTTTTTTTTTTTGAGTTGGAGTCTCACTCTGTCGCCCAGACTGGAGTGCAGTGGC